TTCTTACGACGACCACCTTGATTGCGAAGCTTTTTAAATCCTTGCTAATAAATTGCCGCATAAAATGAGAAATAATCTTTCGTAATCGGACTGAGAATGATAATTGTAGCTTTCATGAAAATACATTGCAATTGGCACATTTGCGTCGCTACTGTTAAAAATCGTTTTACATCAGGAAGGGCCGATTAGCGACAAACGCGCGCGCGCGCACGACGACGACGACTCGGAATTGTTTTCACAGGACTTCCAGGCAATTTTTTTGAGGGGGGGATCCGCCTGGTCACCTTGCGCCGTCGGCTTGCGGAGCAAGCAAAAACGAGCATCGCGAGATGCCACAGGAAAGCGTCGTTAGGACATTAGGACGGTGGTGGCGGGTCGACAGTTAACGAAATGCGTTTCAACGAAAGTCTAGACTTGGGCTCCGCCAACGCCGCCATCGTCCGTCGCGCGGATCCACCCTCGCTTCTAACCACACGTAAGGGGCAGCGGTAACCTAGCATTTTATACGCAAGATCTATAGAGCCTAGGCAATAACGTTTAGCGATAATTCTAGGGTATACCCCGGGCCGCGACCCCTCGGGCCTTACGGATGACTTATGCCGGCTGGAGTTATTCGGACTCCTAAGTGCATCGTGTCGCATCGGAAATCGTCACGAATGCGTCGGTGTCGGGGTGAGCGCGCTCACTCGTTGCGATCATGCTGGTGTCGTAAGCTCTGAATCGAATCGGTCGACACGAATTGTCGAATCGCGACACTTTGCGAACAGACGGCTCGTTCTCTGCGATCAGCGGGAAAGAAATATTGTGCGAATCGTACGATGATAACTCAATTACGCAGTCAACACATTCTGGTTTTCCGCGCGTCGGAATACAACGCGGAAGTGAGCAGCCTGCTCGCTTTGAAGATCGTAATTGCGATAACCGCGAGTTTTTTATACGAATAATTACAACTGGCAACTGCATTATTCTATCCCCCTCTCTCTTTCTCTTTCTCCATTCTCACTATCTGACATTTCAAGCAGATATCATTCACCAACGCGTGCAATCCGAGGTTTGCACAGTTCTAAATGCGCTTCTAGATGCGCTTTAATATCCGCATGCCGGTCGCGCTACGAGCGAAGACAAGAGACAGCGAGGGCCCTCGCGTCAAACGCGCGAGCGAGCTCGTTTATTCGATTCGCGGCGCGTTATAATCTTATCAATCAAGCGAGAGCGGGGCGGGCGAAGGTGCGAGCGAGAGGCACAGAAAGGCCTAAAAGCAATTTACCACTTCCGCCGACTCGTCGTCGGCGCAGAGAGAACTCCGCCGACGTGCTGCGCCGAGCCGCGACACCGGAGGCTGCCGAGAGGATCGCATCCTCCTCGCGCGCCTCGAGAGAGGAGCTCGGCGCGCTCCGATCCGAAAATCATCAGCTTCGTTATTTTGTAGTAGCGGCCGGAGGAGGGTAGACCGCGCGCGGGCGCGAGTGAGCGCGAGCACGCTTGCAATAAAGGTAATTGCAATTTAATCCAGGGATCGTCGGACAGGGGCCACATAGTACGGCGAAGGAAGACAATCTCTCGCAGCCGGAGAGCTTGATCAAGCCATGCGCGCGCGCATAGCTGTGACGAGCGATGCGGTGGGGCCGGGGGAGAAACAGAGGGGGAGCGAGGGAGAAAGAGAGGGAGAAGCAGAGAAAGCGAGGGAGGATCAGGATAGAGAGAACGAGAGAGGGGCAGAGAGGGGACGAGAGAAAGAGAGAGAGAGAGAGAGAGAGAGAAAAAGAGAGAGAGAGAGAGAG